CCAGGTCTCTGTTATCCCTATGACATCATTATTATTTGCACTGAGCAGGAGGGTGAGCTCCTCCTGCTTGTTCCCCAAGCTCCTGGCATTTGTGTACAGGCAGGCAAGTGTCCCCTTGGGGGCTCTTGCCTTGCCCACAGATTGTACCAGGGCTGGGGCAGGAGTGGGCTCCCTTAAGTGCCTTGGCCTGCTGGCTTTGCAAGGGTTGTTCAGCAGGCCAGCAGTGGAGGTAGTCCCCCCGTCCCACAACAGGCTTAGATTAAAGCCCGGTGGAGCAGGTCAGCTGGTCTAAGTTTAGTCCAACTTGATTTTGGTGGACGAAGTTAGAGAACGTGTGGTTGCTCTTGCCCATCTTGCTCCAGTGTGCTATTTTTTCCCCTTGGAGGAAGCCAAAATATGTTCTAATCCAGATGCGAGCTCCTCCCTGACTCTGCTTCCAGAACCACACCGTCCTGTAATGCCTATTCAACCTTTTTAACACTTACCTTTGGGGGTAAGGGTGCAGATCTGGCACTCTGAGATGCGCAGCTGACTCTTAACCCTCCTTTTTCACCTGGAAATATCCCTTTTTCCCCCACTTTACGACCTCTCTAACCTTTCGTTTCTTTGACAGACCCTCAGCTGCTTGCATCTTCCTGTAATATGCCCAAGTTTTCCACCTAGAAGAGTGTTACTTAGCTGTTGCCCCTGCTGCAAGGTGGTATGATGCAGTATTGCAGAGCACTGCTTTTCTGCACAGAAGAGAAGCCTGGGTCCAAAATAGTGCAGTGCTTTGAAACACAGGGCTTCTGTGTGAAGCCTGGCGTAGCTCTGCTTTTCCTTAAATGCTCCCAGGTCTTTTAATGCCTGCTATTGTGTTCCTAACAAAGTGCAAGGAATTCATCCCATGCAGCAGCTGATAGTAAACTGGGTACGGTCTTGTTCGCATCTGAGCTTATGATATGTTTCAGTAATGATCTGAGATGCAGCAGTTTGGATCATTGCTGCACAGGATGTGAGGTTCCCTTTATTCAGGGAGCTGCTGCCAATGGTGGTTGCGCTCTGAGAGTGAGCTGCTATTTCTGTTCCTGGCCCATGGAACAGCAAGTCGCTTAACTTCTGCGTACTTCACAGGGCTGTTGAGGCTTAATGTTTATAAAGTGCTTAGATGCTTCAAGGATATATTTCTTATCTCTGCTGGAGGGTTCTCAGTAGAGCAATAGGCAGTTTTTAAGCTGAGCAGATGCCCTAATTTTATGTTAAAATCTCTTGCCTAAGATATTATAGGGTTTGATGCATTTTATGGGACATCTGGATGTAACTATATTCATAGAATAATTTTTGGATTCATCTGTGTGTTGAGAAGCCCAACTTCACCACACTAAAATCCAGAATTTAGTTCTGTGTATGCTATACAAACTTGACTCTTTGCAATACCCTTTATGACTAGGGGGAGAAATTACACGTAAACTGGTAAAAGTGACAGAAACCAGGTCAAATATGTACACAGCAGCAGTTCAGTGCACATAAACCACTTTCAAAGTCGCCAAAACTGGTTTAAGATGAGCCTGGTTGGACGTAGTATCAGACTTAACTGATTTAGGTTAAATTGGTTTACTGAATGTCTATCCCAGATCCCCCCTCCAGATACAAGTTAACTCGAGTCTCCCAGCATCCCAAGATGCTTTGCACCTTCTTCTCTCCCCCTGCCCCCTAGGGTAGGTGGACTAGACTTGGCCAGGTTTGTCTGCTGAGCGGGGAGGTGTGCTTTAGCTCCCCACAGCTTCTGGCCTGAGCTGCTGCAGACATATATGGCTGCATTTCCAGAATCAAAAGTGAATGTCTGTTCACGTGCTTAGTGGTTCAGTCTGTGCAGCTTAGACTAACTTGCAAAGATTTAAATTGATTCAGCCTTGGGCTTTTTGACTGTCTGTACTTGGCCTGCAAGGCATAGCTGTAAAGAGATGCAAGGACCCGTTTTAGGACCTTTCATGGAATAAACTTGCAGCAACAGCTAAGCAGTGCAAGGTCATCCTCGGAGAGTGCTTTCCCCTCTGTGAAAGCAGATGCCAGTTTGAGAGAAACTCACTTATGACTGTGAAT